AAAAAAATCAAACCAAACCAACCAACCACAAACCCAAAACTCAGAAAAGCTGAGGGAAGACACAAATTCCAAACCCCAACAGAAGAGTGCTGAAGGAATGGCTAAACAAGAAGCCTACACAACTGAAGACACTTCTACAGATCATCCCTGGCTCCTGCTTCTTTATCTCAAAAGAGCAGAAGGGACATGTGTTTTTCGTCTTCTGCAAAACTTGTGCGAAATCCACACCTGCCTGAAGTCAGCCAGAGCTTGGCATCGACTTCAGCAAATCCTCATTATGTGGCTGATGTCCCTTGATGCTGCAAGGTTAACCAAACAGGAGACCCTCCCAGACATGCTTTTTTCTATATGCCAAGTGCCACTGAAGCACAAATTCCAGCATCTAAAGTCTGTACACTAAATGCAATTGTCTTTACCTCAAATAGCTATCGCAAGAGGACTCAGGTTTCCCTTGGGACAAAATAAGGCTTGAGACAGGGAGGAGCTCCAGCTCCTAGATAACACTGAAGAAATCAAAAGTCACAAGCAATGGCTGTCCCTATGCACAGCGAGGCCAGAAACGTGAGCTCTGGCAATACATGGTGAAACCAGGCACACAGGTTGGTAGCAAATGTCTGCCAAGGAGGTTCTGAATGGTCCTAAAGCAAAGCAAATGCCAACAGCCTACCCGAGCCATGAGCACCCCAGCAATGCATGTGAAAGACGTTTATCCTCTTGCAAGCTACCACAGGTTAAAGCCCATTCTTTAACCTTTTATAAAAATAAAGATGCTAGCAAAAAGGTGGGTGGTCCTCTTTACCTTGCACTCTTCATCCAGTAGGTCCAAGATACCAAGTTTTGCCTCTATAAGGTCTATGCAGGGCTGGTTATCGTAGAAGTCTATGAGAGTCCAAGGGATTCCCTCCTTCATGTACTCTTCTTGTTCCAGCTTAAACACGTGCTGAGTGGAAAAACAGCAGAATTACTGACTGTGACCCAGCCAGCACAGCGCCTGCCCCTTCCCCGTTCACCTGCTCGTCCCCACTGGAGTAGAGTATTCCCTCAGCACATGCAGAAGCCGTAGAAGGTGCCCTCATGTACAACTTTGTATGGGCTCTGCCATTTACACAATCTAGCTTCTGGGAAGGAAAATAAAAGCTTTACACTAGGAAACCATGCAGGGGGGGGGGGGGGGCAAGGCTTTAAATGACTTTCACCAGAAAATGACTGAAGCTGTCACTACATCTAGGTGGAAGCCGTATATTGAAATGGCAATGACATATATATCTCTTGGGCTGAGAAAAATCCCTCTCTCCTTTAGTGCAGTGCTGATTAAACTAGTGACTCGCAGCAGGTTCACAAGCTGGGAGCCAAGCCAGGGCTGAGCATGTGTGCCCCCATCTGTGAGCAGAGCTTCACAAAGAGCACCCATGTCCCTAGAAGAGATCAGCAGCAGTATCTAACTGACTCAGGAACATTTCTATTGTAGATTCTTATTACAAAAAAGAAACAAAAAATCACCAATCTTTGCATAGCTTATATACCTCAGACCTCTGCCCAAGCAGATAAATTGTCTCTGGCTATTTCTGAGATACTCTAAGCATATTAAAAAATTATTTTTCAAATGCACTTTTTTCTTCAAAGATAGCTTTTTAAAATATCTTCAAACATGTCATCTCGGAGTTTGAATTTATAAGCTTCAGAAGTGATAGTTGGACATACTAAGATATGAATAGTGCAAATACAACCCATAATTTACTTTTCATTTTTAGCAGCACTGATCCGATGCATTAGATATACTGCAAATGTTCATGTCCACGCATATGATACGGTTTCAAAGTGCCAAACTACTCCGCAGTACTTAGCTGCTCAAATTTAACAAGTTTTCCCTTGTATCCCGAAACTAATAGTAATTTTTTCCCTGCTTACAACAAAAGCAGAACACGATCCCTTAATGGTTTCATTTCCAGTGCAGGTAAGTGCTTGTATCTAATAAAAGAGGAGAATCTCAGGTTTTTGTGAGGCATGTCCAAGTGAAAAATGGGGAGTGTGTCCAACCCTGCTATTTAACACAGAGTTTTCGTTGCAGAGGTTTAAGCCACACTTAATGGGCAGATTTCCACTCATGCTTTGGTCTTACACTGGCAATCAGGACTCAGCACAAGACCATCCAGGTTTCGGTTTAGAATTGAAACTACACCAAAAAAAAAATTAGCAAACTTTCTACTTATTTAAAACCATCAGTGAACGTTTGCATAAACCATTTGCAAACCTGCTTCCAGTCTCAAGCTTATCAACCAACCAAGCAACGTTTTCAACTTGATATCAATATTTAGTGCAATTGCAATGCACAATCATTGCCCAGGAGAGATGGTATCCCAAGGACTACATTCATGCTGGCCATGCGATCTGATGAGGCTGCAGGTAAATGCCATTAAGCAGAAGCCAGACATACAATAATCCCACCTTGATATAATTTCTTCTAAGTTTTATGGAACACTTCCAAGCTGACCTTACCGAGTTGAACTGCTGCTGGAGCTTTTCGTTGGCATAGTTGATACAAAACTGTTCAAAGCTATTCACTTCAAAAGTTTCAAACCTGCAAAGCAATGAATAAATCAGCATTAAGCGCTGCTTCATCTCAAAATCTACTTTTCTCTGCAACGGTGTCATCTGCGTGACAGGGAACACGAGTTATTCAACCGTCTCTTTGCATTCCTCCTATCCCATATCTACATTTTATTATTCCCCAAAACATCTCTCTTTCCTTGCCACAACTCAAGGGATTCAAGAGGTCTCTTCTGCTACGCACAAATGAGATACTTGGTACGACTGTAGCTTCCTGCCCATCAGCCAGCAGTGCTGTCTGAGACGAGAAACGTAACAGACTTTCTTGCAGAAAAATATTACAAAATATTAAGTCCAAATACATTCACTGCAAACGTGATGGAGAAACAGTAGCTGCTGTCTTAAAAGACCCAACACAGTATTTTTAACGTAATTCAATAGAGCAGAAAAAGAAGGTATTAAATTCATAATTATAGCCTCTGTATTGCGTCCCTGATAGCACAAAAATTAGATACACGTGAGCAAGTGAGTTCTTGGAGGCAGCGGGAGAAATGGTGCTTTCAGCTCCAATTCCAACATGTTCCTTAGAGGGAGTCTGGTGTTGGTCTCAGTGATCCCCCTCTTCATCAGGGCTTCAAAAGCTTCCCTTGCAGAAATGTTATCCCACCCCTCCACGGGCCACTGGCCAACTCCAAACCGAGCTCAAAACTGGCTTCCTAGTCACAATTAGAAAAGAAAAAATGTGCAGTTTTAATAACACAAACTACAGGCAAGCAGGAGAAAGACAGCAGAGTCCCTGAGGTGGTCGGGGCTGAAGCACATGGAGCCCAGGGACAGGCAGAGGGAGCTGGGCTTGCTCTTAAAAGAAAAAAAAAAAAAAAAAGACATTTTTCAGCTACCACAGGGAATTATGTTATTTATATTTCTATTTTTAAGGTACAGTTGGAGGAAGGAGAAAAAAGTCTTTGACACATGACTGTAAGGATTAAACTAAGGGAAGAAGTGGCAAAGCTCCCTGTGCTGAATGAATAAGCTGCCGTAATGACAAATGCGCAATGAAATAATTGCTCAAGTAATAGGTGCTGTAGGAGCCGGCAGAACAGTCTTAAAAGCACTAAACAAATGGAAGTCCTTTTTTCCCCCTAAAATCAGTATTTCCAGTACTTTCCGAGGATTACCTGGCCATTATCCACATGATGCAGCTGTTCCCCAGGTACTGCCAGGTGGCAATGCGCTCACCATAGAAAATGCCTCAGCCCTCAGGAAAAGGCAATGGAAAAGGAAAATGGAAAATGGGAGAAAGGAGCCGCTTTTGCACTTTTATCAGCCCCACAGCCCTCGAGAAAACCCAGGACCAGCTCTCTCTCTGCCTGACCCAGGCTGGCATTGCCCTCGAGCCGGTGCAGCCCATGCCGAGCAGAGGATGCTCAATCCCTCCCCATTCCAGGAACCGAGCTTTGCAATCTTTAATGCAACAAAATCTGGTGCCTGGGACCAACGAATGTTTGTATTAAACACGTGGCCAGAGCCTCAATGATGAACATGTCCTTGAAGAGCTCCTGATGTGCTTGATCTTGGTTGCATGGCCGTTGCACCGAGCAGATCTGCACCATCAGCTCTTGCAACTAAAGGGACTCGACTTTTCCAGGACTCCTTGGAAATACCAACTCCTGCAGGTTCACGATCAGAACAATGGGGCAATAAAAGATTTAATTAAAATGGAGATGGAGAAGCACGGTGAGCTAGGTGGAAAAACACAACAAGAGCAGGGGTACAAGAGGAAAAGATATCGGAGTGGAAACTCTTTTTCCACTTCAGAGACACCAGATGCGATTTATGAACCTCTCAGCGAGCGCCAGCCAGGGGCAGAGCAGCTGTACAACATCAACTCCAAGGGAGATTTTGTGAAGTCGCTAATTAAGGGACTCTGCCAGCACAATTTGCTAATTGACAGAGCTGTTTGGTCGCCAGCTCCTTGCCAGGAAGTCCTGCCCACACAAAGGGACTGCACTAAGACGACATCCTAATGGGAAAAGCAAACCAATGGCTGTTTTGTTTCTATTCATTTCAGTGCCTATATCCTGGTGCAAAAAATAAACGCATTCACCACTCCCACCCATCACCGTGGCTCCCGGGAAGGCACATCCCGGCTTGGGGACAGCTCCTGCGAGTGGACATTGGGGACCAAACGCTGCATTTTGGCTTTTCTCCTGTTCCCTATTCTGCTGCATGACAGGTATCTCCTGAATCTGCTGCAGCACCAGGGTTTATACTAAAATATTTAAAGTTCATAAATAAGTCCAGCATACAGCTGGCCACCTAGGTGTTCACAGTTCACTTCACATGGCAAACAGAGGGAAA